TGAGAACCACAGGTTTAGAACGAAACTGAAATCCAGATCTAAAAGAGTCTTGACTGATGTGCCCCACACAATATTGCCTTTTTTCCTCCCATTTGTAATGTTGGCATTTTACTTTGATTTTATTTTTATAAAGTTTACAACTGTATTAGGGAGCATTAAAATTCTACTTTCTAGACCAGCTGCAGTGGCTGACACCTACAATCCTGGCAATTCGGCAGGCCAAAACAGGAGGATAGTTTCAGTCTAGCAGCTCAAGACCAGCCTGAGCAATATAGCAAGACCTTGTGGCTACAGAAGATAGAAAATTAGCCTGGTGTGGGAGCATATACCTGTAGTTCCAGCTTCTTGGGAAGCTATGGCAGCAGGATTACTTGAGCCCCAGAGTTTGAGGCTTCTGTGAGCTGGGCTGCCACCATAGCACTCTCAACAGAGTGAGACTCTGTCTCAAAAATAAATACATAAATAAAATTCAGAGGCAAGTGCTTTCCTTAAAGTTTTTGTATTAGTTATCGATTGATACTGTAACAAATTGCCACAAGCTTAGTGGCTTAAAACAATACCAATTTATTCTCTTGCAGGTCAGTAGTCCAAAATGGGTGTCATTTGGCTAAAATGAAGGGGCCAGCAGGGCTGCGTCTCCTCTGGGGGCTGGAGGGGGACCTGTTCCCTTGCTTCTTACAGCTTCCAGAGGTTGCCACATTCCTTGGCTCCTGGCTTCTCCCTCCACCTGCAAAGCCAGCAGTAGCTCAGCACTTTTCAATTTTCTAACCATTCCCTAATTCTGACCCTCTGGAAGCCTCCTTACATTTTTTCTCTTTAAGGATCCTTGTGGTTATGTTGAGCCTGCCCAGGGAAAGCAGAATAATCTCTCCATCTCAAGACTATTAATCCGAGGCTGGGAAGGGCACAGTGAAGAGAGATTGGGTCACGGGTACAAACATACAGTTAGAAGGAAGAAGTCCCAGTGTTTGATAGCACCAAAGAGTGACTATAGTTAAAAATGATTTACTGTACATTCCAAATCAGCTAGATGAGAGGCCAGCTGTACTGGCTCATGCCTATAATCTTAGCACTCTGGGAGGCCAGGTGGATAGATTGCCTGAGCTCATGGGTTGGAGACCAGCCTGAGCCAGAGCGAGACCCTGTCTCTAAAAATAGCTGGTCGTTGTGGCAGGTGCCTATAGTCCCAGCTACTTGGGAGGCTGAGACAAGAGAATTACTTGAGCCCAAGAGTTTGAGGTTGCTGTGACCTATGATGCCACAACACTCTACTGAGGGCAACAGAGTGAGACTGTCTCAAAAAAAAAAAAAAAAAAAAGAAGTGATTTGAAATGTTGCCAACACAAAGAAATGATAAATGTATGAGGTAATATACCCCAATGGATCATTACACATTGTATACCTGTATGAAAATACTGTATGTACCCCATAAATGTGTATAATTATTCTGTGTTAATAAAAATCAAGGAAAGGTCATTAATTACATCTGTGAAGTCCTTTTTTGTCATGTAAGGTAATACAGGTTCTAAGAATTAGGACAGGGAATGAGGGGAGCATTATTCTGCCCTCCATAGAGACCACAAAATGTCCTAACAGTTGGACCTTCAAGCTTCTTGCGTGTACAGGAAAATGGGGTTTGGTTTTTTTGTATGTCTTCTCCTGGTATTTCTATCTTGGATGTTACTTATTTACTCTTACAGAGAACTAATGCTACTGTGTTTATTTGGACCATTTGGGTTTGATAGGTGTTCAGTAACCATATACTATTAATTACATATGGGGCTGGGTGCAGTGGCTCATGCCTATAATCCTAACACTTTGGGAGGCTAAGGCAGGAGGATTGCTTGAGGCCCAGAGGTTGAAGTGCAGTGAACTACGATGCTGTCACTGTGCTCTACTCTGGGTGATTGAGCAAGACCCTATCGTAACACAGAGGGTCTTGAGAGGAAGGGCTTTGGCAATGAAGACCTGAGTTTTAGACAGAAGATTTAAAAACTTGCAGCACAGTGACATGTTAAATGAACTCAAAGAGTCTTTAAACTTTTGTCTTTCAGGCTTATGTACAGAAGTACATTGTGAAGAATTATTTCTACTATTACCTATTCAGATTCTCAGCTGCTTTGGGTCAAGAAGTGTTCTACATCACATTCCTTCCCTTTACGCACTGGAATATCGACCCTTATTTATCCAGAAGGCTGATCATCATTTGGGTGGTACGTACTGTTACTTCTTGCTAACCATACCACATCCAAGGCAACTGCCTGCTTTGGGATTCAATTCCTTTGGGTGCATGTTCTTTGCTTTTTTAACCACTTAGGATTGGGTTTGTTGCCTGATTTACTTTGGATGAGTTAAAAAACTGTAAACAACTTGTTTTGTTTGCAAAACCCAAACAACCCCGTAATTTCACGGATGTTGTGTACCTTCTCATGGGCAAATCAGAGTGGGAGAGAAAAGAAGTGATGAGCAGAGAAGAAAGGCCTTTTCTAAAAACCCATCAAGGAGAAGAAAAATACATCTTTCCAAGTGCTGCATTTTCGTAAAACTGGATCAAACACTAAACCCAGAAGCTGTCGAGTTATAGTTTTAAGCAGTGTTAAGCGACTACTCTGTATACATGAGGCAAAGAACCTTCCTTACGCGTGGTTAGGGGCAGCTGCAAATATACAGAAGTCCCAAGGAGACAGGTGGAGCCCCTTTCACCTGTTTTCCGGTGACTCTATCATTTAACTTTGTTCAGGGCTAAGTGAGTTCTGGGCTTTTTTGTTTAAGTAGTGGAGATGGTGGGTATTTGCAAGGCAGCGAGGCATACTACACGTACAAGGTTGGTATCAGACGGGCCTGTGTTCAAGTGCAGTTCAGCCATATCTACCCACATTGTCCAGAGCCCTAGTGCCTCATCTGTGACATGCTGCATCCCCAGAGCATCAGGAAGGTATCTAGAGCATGCACATAGTTCAGGGCCTGGCATAGTGGAGCAGGAGTCTACAAGTCGCTGTCTGAGTGTGATAACACGTAATGACCAGCCCGTGGCAGTGAAGGAGTCCTGAATTCTAACGTCAAAGATTGTTCAGCTGGCAGGGGCAGCCTCAGGTACAAAACTGTTCTCCTGGCTCAAAATTCTGCACCAGCGGTTCAGAAGTGCTCCCTTGGTTATCAAGACAAGCTGCTTGGTTGTAAGGTGACTTCCCCATGCTGGGCTTTATTTTTCTCATTTCTAGAGGAAAAGAGAGCAGATTGATCAAAAGCAATAAACTCAAAATCCTTAGAGGCAGGGAAGAGAAGTAAACAGTGCCACAGTGGATGGGTAGGAATGGCCAGGGTTGGGTTAGGGGGATATCTATGCAAATCATTCACAGAGTGGCTCTTTGGAGGTTGGAGGGAGCGCCTGCCCCTCGGCTCCACCTGTGACTGCTATGAGGCAAATGGGCCCAGCATGGCCAGATTGCCTTATTTTTCATGTGAAATCTGCTGGGTTTTAAATACAAGCTTAGATTTTTAAAACATCATATGCGCACTGAACAAAGACTGCTTGGCATCCAAGTATATGAGTGCAGTTGAAGCCTGTAGTCCAGTGGTTCTCAACCTTCCTAATGCCACGGCCCTTTAATACAGTTCCTGTGGGTCGCAACCCACAGGTTGAGAACCGCTGAGTGTGGTCTAAAGCACAGCTAAAGCTTATGGCTAGGATTATTTGACCCCCAGTTCCTTTGACTCTTTCATCTTTTTGTCCTGGAAAACCCCAAGCCACTTTTTTCTTTCCCCATTCCTGTCTTCCCGTAGCCCTCTTCTGAAACACAGAACCCACAGAAGCTCAGGCATCTTGTAGACCCTAAAGGGGTTGCCAGTCCCATTGTCCCTCTCCCTTTCTGAGGCTTCCGAGCAGTCCCAGGTGGTGGGGCAGGACTACCAAGTCTCCTTCAGTTCTTAAGAGTTGAAAATCCATGAAAAGCCCTTTATGCATGAGTTTCTGTCCCTCTCTCACTTATTTTCTAAGAGATACACATTTTTTAAAACATCCTCAAACCATAATGGTGGTTGAGTGGGGCCAAGGATGTGAAGTGCATTTAATAATCCAGGTATGTCTTATAATGCGAATGGCCAGCCCAAAGTCAGTGACTGCCCCCACCGAGAGTGGATGACATTTCCTCGGGAGCTGGAAAGACCTTTACAGTGGATAAGAGGCTGTGGGAAGGAGACTCTGGTTGTCACTATTGTGTGTACGCTTTGGACTCCTCATCTCAAATTGCTCTAAGTGCCTGTTTGCAGCAGAATGACAAGACTTTTGTCAGAGAGTGAGCAAATAAAATCTTTGCCTGAGAAAGGAAAGTGTAACTGTTGACTCTGCAGTTTGTCCTGAGGTTTGGTGGCCTGGGAATTTTTTAAATGTGCTTATGTGATGGTCCTTGAGGCATCCATGCTGAGAGTTCCATAGTTACTTAATTTGTGTGGGAAGGGTAAGGGAGTGTGCCCCTTACTGCCCGTGCTTGGTGGAGGGAATGGAGGCCGTTCCTGGAGAGGGAGGGAAAGGGAGATGTAGAAGGGCTCTCGTGTACTTGCTTGTGTACATACGTGACCATGCGTGCTTGCTTGTGTACATACGTGACAATGCGTGCATGCATGTGTACATACGTGACCATGCGTGCATGCTTGTGTACATACGTGACCATGCGTGCATGCTTGTGTACATACGTGACCATGCATGCATGCATGTGTACATAACATGACTATGAGTACATGCATGTGTACATACGTGACCATGTGTGCATGCTTGTGTACATACGTGACTATGAGTGCATGCGTGTGTGTGTGAGTGTGTGCGTTGGGAAGTGGGCTGTATTTGCTGGGCTGTAGAAACAAGGAGAGCTGCTTGATCTGGCTCTAGTGTTGAAGGTGGATGAAAGGTCAGGAAATTCCTGGTGAGGTAGGGATTTGGAAGGGGAAGAGAGTTGGAGCAGGATATGGTTCTCCCACTTGTGCCTGTCCAGGCAACGAGCTTCCCATGGATGGAGCCTTTTTTTCTCTAGGAGGATCCCTAACTTAATGGCTGCCTCTTCAAGAGGTGGAGATTAAGAAATGTTAATTACCTAAAGGGCAGAGCTGTACATCTATCTTACCCTGGATTCACTGGAAAGCTGCTGTATTCAGGACTGCCAAACCTCTTGTCAAATTTTATATTAGTCCAACAGTTGTTACTGGATGCAAACCCAACGATTTTATTGCTTTTGAAAATCATTTGTTATATTAGTGGTGAGTATCACTGTCTGCAGTAGCTTAGCAGAATTTATGGTTCCATTAACTGCTCTCTTTGTGATCATAGTGATTTCTACTCTGTTGTAGAATCCACCTTTCTTGACAAGCAAAAAATTTTGATAAGCTTTTGGTAAATTAGCTGAAGGACATCCATCAAGTCGATTTTTCTCTTGTGTCCTGTATCTAGGTTTTTAATCTGTATTTCGGCTCAAAAGAATCTCAGACACTAGGACAGGAAAGTCAGGGAATGGGCTGTCTGATGAGAATGTTCATCAAGAGACAGTGTGGATGGTGTTTTCCCATCTACATGGAAGTGGATGGATAATCATTCCCATAATGGAGTGATTATCACGTCTCTTGGCTTTCACTGTGCATGGTGACAACCCTACCAAAAAAAATTTAAAGTTACATTGATGTATCCTAAAAGATAGTCAGAGGCAATTTCACTGAAACTATGGTGTTCAGCTTTATACCACGAAGCAAAGTCCCACTCATTCTTTGCTAAAGAAAATTACATCCCACTTTGTAAAATAGCAATGAGATATGGACACCACGACTGATCCTTTTGGCTTGGAAGCCTCATTTTCTGTTTTCTTTTACTTCTCTATATCCTGCTTCTTTTCATAGACATTTCATCATTAGTGATGCCCTGAAAAATGGAAGGGTCAGATAAATAGATAAAAATAAAAATTAGGGGGAATAAAGCCCAGACTAAAGTTAAAGGTAGTTAGCTGGTTCAAGGGTGAGCCACAAATTAGTCTTTGAACTTTGTCTTGACCAACCAAAATGAGGTCACATTATCCACTAAGAAATAATAAGCATGTCCCTAAGAGAGCAAACCTTTTCTGGACACACAGGATTGAAGAATTGTTAAGGGTAGTGAAACACAGTGCTGAATTATTTTCTTAGAAATATTGTTTGGTAGCATTCTGACTTTGATGTGTCTTCATTTTCAAATCATTGCTACTTTAACCAATTAAAAAATAGCATCTCAGTCCATATTTTTATCAGCCATTTGTATTAATTCTTGGGAATTGTTAGTCTGCCTTTTGAGTATGTTTTGTTTGTTTGTTTGTTTTTTGTTTTTTGAGTATGTTTTTAAAGAGGGCTTTGGTTTTTTTTATTGATTTCCACAGTTAACTCAGAAAGATAAAGAATTTTCCATGTATCAGAGACAATGTGTCCAGATGTCAGATTTTTAGATTAAAACTTTGAGAAATGGTATATATTGGCTTGGCGCCCATAGCTCAGTGAGTAGGGCGCTGGCCACATACACCAATGCTGGCAGGTTCAAGCCCGGCCCCGGCCTGCTAAACGACAATGACAATTGCAACCAAAAAATAGCTGGGCATTGTGTGTGGGTGCCTTGTAGTCACAGCTACTCGGGAGGCTGAGGCAAGAGAATCATTTGGGCCCAAGAGTTTGAGGTTGCTGTGAGCTGTGACGCCACAGCACTCTACCAAGGGCAACGTAGTGAAACTCTGTCTCCAAAGAACTTTATAGTATCATCAATAGTGACCTGGGAAAATCCTTTATAATGGAATTTGTGTCTACAGCCACATGGCCCTAAAAGTCTCAATTTCTTCTTTTTTTTCCCCTTTCTCCACATGTACTTTTTTTTTTTATTTTGGGTTTCACATGAATTTTTTAAAACACTAAGATATTTCAGTATGTTTTCCTCCCCCAGTACAGAAAGTATTTGCGTTTAAAACTAATGATCCGCCTGAGGCAGGTGTGATGCTGAAGGAGCCATGTCATTTATAACAGAATATTTCCCCTTAACTCTGTAAGCCCCAAATTATCTTTTGATTTAATCTTCAGCTTTCCAAATCTGTGTCTGCACACCCGACAGTATGAAGCCCTACCTTCCTTCTTTCCCTTGTCTTTTTATGACTTCTTTTTTTGTCCCGTCCCCAAGAGGTGTGTCACACACCTTGACCCTCACCCCCCACTCTCCTTC